AAATCACAGCTTTTCATGATCAGCTTTAATAATATTTGTAATTTGTTTCACCTTTTTTCCTCCCCTCAAAGCCAGAAGAAATTTTGTGGGGAGAAATGATTTGAGTGCCTTTGAGAACCAATTTGGAAATGTCTATTAAAAGTATTCTTTAACTCTCCTCATTTCTGTATATGGAGAGAAGTTTACCTATTTATAGAGGTTATACAAATAAAATATTCTCTGAGAACTTTCTCTGGATCTTTTTCAAACTTTTCAAATTATTTGAAATCAAATGTAAGTATTATTTTTATAGGTGTAGAACAATCATGACACCTTTGGCATACATTTTTAAGTTCTGGGCTTTTAAACAGATTCTGTTTTCTTATTCATTTAGATTCCCTTGAAAAATCTTCTCTATGATTTTCTTAAAGAAAGGATTACTTGCTTCCTTTTAGCTATGTATGTTATCCTATGGATGATATAATAAAGGAACTATAGATTTTTAAAAAATCTTTTTGATGTTACTAAGCATATTACTAAACCTATGTTTAGAGGTGGTTACTCCACCTTTCCAAAGCAAAGAACCTTTACTTTTCTCTGTCATCTAAAAATTCTTACTAGCATAAGTTGTATATCTCATATATATATTTAATTTAAGTAATACATTCCTAGTCTTCCTTCCTCATATCTTCTACAGGTTTTATTTATTCTAATAATTTCACCTCATAACAAAATTCAAACAAATACCTATTGGATACCTACTGTATGCAAACTACTTTCCTAGGTACTAGGTATACAGCAGTGACTAGACAAAAATCCCTGCCCTCATGGAACTTACGTCTAGTAGGCAAGATAATAACTGTAAGTTAGAGAGCGAATAAGTGCTAAGAACAAAAAACAAAGTATTGGGAAAAATATAGTAAAGATTAAATTTTAAAAAGTGAAGAAAAAGCAATCTCAAATAATAAAAAAGAAAAAACAAAGTAGGGAGGAGGGTATATGGAATATGCGGCATATTGATGGGTTGATCGGCAAAGTTTGCTAAGAAGGAAATTTTTGAGGAAAAACATGAAGGCAGTAAGGAGGTGAGTCATGTAACTGCATGGGAAGAGCGTTCCAGGCCTAGGGAACAGTAGGAAGATGCGTTTTATGGGATTGGGTCACAGAGCCATTTAGGGGAAGATGTCGGAGAAATAATGGAGAGCAAGATCATGTAACAAGTATTTGTTGGAGTTATATAATTATCTTTCTTCTGTAATTTTCCTGAGGATTATGTTTCTGTTCTTTCTAGCTCTGGACAGAATTTTATGCTGAGTTCATTTTAATAAGCAGTTAAAAACTTTGCCATCTTTACTATTTTTGACTGATAACATGCATATATTAAGTAGTCAAAGATTTGTGCTTGTGAAAAAACACATGATCTTACCTTTTTCTATTTGCCATTTAATTTCATGTGTTAAAATTTTAATATCATTGCTTTTTGGACTGCACATCTTCACCACTATTCCAGTAAATGTGATTAGCAATCCAGTTGCCTAGTGCTGCTTTATATTTTGGTGGTGATGGTGATGATGATGATGGTTGTCATTTTATAGTTTTTTTCTTATAGAATTCTAAATTTTCACCATTTGAAATTAATAAATGTTTGCCATCTTTTTAAAAATAAATGCAGTGAAAGAAAAACTTAGGTTTTCTTAGAGACATTTATTTGCTCTTTTGTTGAGCCAAATCAAGTTATTTGTTTTCTATTAAATGACCAGGAATCTAAGCAAATAAATTAAATGTAACTGAAGGATGTCAGAGGACATTTAACTCAAACTGATTCTAATGAATTGAAGGGTTTGAATTTATAGTATGTTAGAACGACATTTGAAGTCGAAAGATGTTTTTGTTTAGCTCCCCACTGAATAATTGTGTAGCTTTTTCTGAACTTCAGTTTCCTTTTCTGTAAATGGGAGTCAAATTGACTACCTCAGAGGCTCACTATAACACATTGTTTTGTGAATATAGTTGAACACTCTCTAAAAAAACTATTTAGTGCCATCCAATGTAAATAGTATTACTTTCTCTTCTGTTAGGTGACCTATGCTTATCTTTTAAAACTTTGTTAAGTGTTAATATGCATTGGCTTTGTTATGCCTGGATAATTTCCACAATTTTTAATTTTTTGGACTGATGGTCCCTTAATAGATCTTCTGCGACTGCTTCCACAAGGGACAAGTCTTGTCCATTGTCTCCCAACAATGCAGTGATGATTTTACTCTCAGTTGCTGTGGCCTCTGACATTCACATCACTGAGATTTTACTTGCCCTCACTTTGAAGACAGCTATTAGCAATAGAGGATAAGCTCAATTGGAACTTTCTAGTCTTCCTAAACCTGTATTAGGGACACCCAGAAGCTGCAGTGAGATGCTACCTTTGATCTGTCTAGGAAATAATAATTTCATTTAGAGAACCATCACTCACATTTTTCTGAAGCACTAGGTAAATGGGGAATTATTATAGCAGCACACTGACCAACAAGTCCAGGGCAACGTGAAGTTTTGAGGACTTCTGGAAGTACATATTCCTGCTGGATATGGGGTAACCAGGGCATCCGTAATAACTTTTCAAAATTTGAAAGAACCAGAATAAAACCATGGTTCCCAAATTGTGATTTGCATTAGTTACCTGGGAGCTTATAAAAATCCCAGTGACTAGTTCATATCTGGTACTAATTAAATCAGAATGTCTAGGGAGAGAGCCAGGCATTGGTAGTTCTTAAAGATCCCCAGATGACACAAATGTGCTATGAAGTTTATGATCCGAAGTTTGGGAATATGTGGCTCTGGCCTCCATTCTTTTACTACCTGTGTTTGTTTCACATGCTCTAGTATCATTAGTGACAGCATTAAAATCTTATCATGAAAAATATTGGAAACTAATACATAATGTCCCTCAAGCAGATTTGTGGTCTACATTTTTTTAAGAGTATATGTTTTACATAGTCTTATGTTGTTTTGAACTTTCACGTTCATTAGTGGCCCATGGTAGATATATTCATGCTATTTTTTCCCCATTTCTTACAGATATTTTCTTAACAGCTTTAAATAAAAGCATGTCTTTATGATTTATGACTTGTAGAATAAAATACTTGTAAAATAAAATGTCTACAAGTATTGGTCAGGAGGTTCATTCCTTTGTTTTGATTACAATGACCATTTTCAGAATAAAGGACCAACACATAATTTGTTTTTCCAAATCCATTTTTATTTTTCTCCAGTTTAGTAATGAATTGTCAAAAGCTGGCCTAAATTTATGGAATCAGTATGAGTCTGAAGGAATAAGCAGTTTAGTTATATCACAGCTGCATTAATACTTACTAATATACAAGATGATGGGTATGTGAGCTGAAAAGTATACCTGTAGCATTACTGTGATAGCATAAGTGAATGAACCGTTTTCCAATATTGCGATTTATTAAGTCAGCCTCAGTGTAATCTAATAAAAAAATAGAATTTTAAGTGTACAAAGGGGAATCCTTAAGTGGCTTGGTTCCTTTTGTTGACAAAAGCCAGAGTTTTGGCTATATACCCTTGAATATTTGCCTAGGGCTTTACAAATAAGTTCACAATATTATCTTCAAACAATAGAAATCCTATTTTGACACATTAAAAATTTCTGTTTCATAGTCCATGTCAAATACATGTGTGAAAAAATGCAGAACATGAATTGATGTTCTGTTAGTTTTTTTCATTGTCATTTAAAATAAAGAATATGATCTTATTGTCTCCAGTGCTGTCAATATTGTAAATTACAGACATTTCTGCAGTGCAAATATTTGACTTAATTCATAACATCATCCAGTTTTTGTTTTGAATCTTTTGTTTTTCTTGTTTTGCATTTTTATTTTGTTTTGTTTTCAGCCATCATTTTGTCTTATCATCTTCAATTCTAGAGCAACCTGACAACAATAATGATACTACTGAATTGGGCATCCTTGTCATTCCTGAGATTAGTGTCACAAATGTGGCCGGAGAGAGAACCGGGAATGGGGAAAAAGGCAGAACACTAGGAGAGATTGATGCTCAGCATATACAGGGTGTGCAGGAAACAGCCACAGATCCTAGAACTGAAAGCAAAGGCTTGCCAGAGATCAGGAGGCAAAAATCTGTAAGAAAAATGATGGAGGATGGAATTAACTCACCTGGCAGAGTGCAGTTTTAGCACAGCACTTTATAGCTGCACTCCAAGGTATCTCATGGAAAAGGGCCACTGCTGCATGTTTTAAGGAACAGTTGCATAGTCACAAAAATTTTGCATGTCATCTAATAATCAAAATGCATGAATTATGCACCATAATTTCTCAATGACTCTTAATGTTCTTTGGTCATACCTATATTGTCTTTGAGTAAATTGTTATGAAAACTGAGGCAGAAAACTGCCTCCAAAATAATTTTCTGCTCATATTTTGAGATAAAAAATTATTTATTTCATGTTGTATTTTTGCCATTTTTGATATGAAGAGTGACATATATAGAATTTTAACAAGTTTGAGCTTGTGATACTTATAGTCTATTTTTTAAATCCTTATAAATAATCTAGACTATAGTATACAACCTTTAAAATTTTTAAAAAATAATTTAATACTATTTTTTAAAAAGTTCCTTGGTAAGAGCTTTGATTTTCTACTGCTTTGTTACTGAAGGAGAGTTTGCCCTTAATTTTACTATGTGGTATTTTTCCTAATTGTTTCTGATCTTTTGCATGAATAGTGAGAAAGCTCTTTCTAAAAACATAGTGGGGTGTGGTTTATGGCATGCTTTTTGTTTAATATACTATAAATTACTGTTATTTAATCACAATGAACTATTTTTCATACTTTGTACAATATTTTGATTTATTCTTTGATTTTGTTTATAATCTGTTGCTTTAATTATGCTAAAATTTGATTTATTGAAAGTGTAATTGATTTGGTATTAATGAAAAAAATTACTGAAAATACTTAATGTTAATTAATGTTTGTTATTTCTTTGTTTAGGAACTACAGAATTAACAGGTCAAGAAGAACTGATGGACATATCCGAAGTTGACGAGGGATTTTATTCCAGGGCTGCATCTAGTACCAGCCAGTCAGGTTTATCAAACCATGGTCACAATTCTAGTAACAAGACAAGTATAGGAAAGACTCAGAGAAGGTCGGGAGGAAGCAAAACTGGAGGAAAAGAAAAAGAAACTACAGGGGAGTCTTGCAAGGATCACTTTGCTCGAAAACAAACGCAGAGAGCCCAAAGTGAGAATCTTGAGCTGCTCTCTCTGAAGAGACTGACGTTAACAACCAGCCAGTCCCTGCCTAAACCTACCAGCCATGGTTTGGCTAAGACTGCTGCGACTGTATTTAGTAAGTCCTTTGAACAAGTCAGCGGGGTCACAGTCCCACATAACCCATCATCTGTTGTTGGCTGTGGGGCTGGGACAGATGCCAACAGGTTTTCTGCTTGTAGTCTCCAAGAAGAAAAGCTTATTTACGTTTCTGAAAGGACAGAACTTCCGATGAAGCCTCAGTCAGGTCAGCAGAGACCTCCTAGTATTAGCATTACTTTGTCCACGGATTAATTTGTAAGAGTTTTCTTATGTGACGAGCAAATCTGGAAATACGCCTTTGCTTCTTTATGAAAGTGCCCAGGGTCTTTCATCCCTGTTCCTGACAGAGCCTTGATGTCTTAAACTCTGAAGGCTATTTTGACTTTATGAAGGGAATAATGTCTAGGTTGCAGTGAGTTGAAATATGGTGTTGCTATATATCAGTTGTCTTTTTTTTTCTTTTTTTTCCCTTTGTTTCTGTTGCCCTAAGATTGTCAGTGTAACGATACATTTTGACAGGTTGTTTGATTCCATTGATAACATCTCATGTGAGGTCTTGAATTGTTTTTCCCTCCTAATAACTTCTGTCCTAGTAAATGTAAGTTTGGCCTTCAGAATAAAAGGAAATATCCATGAACTGTTTTTTAAAGGATGAGGCAGAGGTGCAACTCCTGCTTGACTTGAGAAACTCCAGTTAGTTTGGATTGCTGTAATTCAGAGCACACATCGTGGAAGACTTCCTGGAAATTGTGCATCTTGCGACACAGCTCTCAAGATGGCAATGTCAGCCATCTTGTTTGTCTACAAATGAAGGAAAATAGGTAAATTTTTTAAATCTATAAAATGTCATAAAAGATAAAGATAGTGAAATACGGACAAAACATTTACATATTAACTAGTTTAGGATTATTTATGTTTGTGTTCTTAAATTCAAAATTATAAAATATGAAAAAAATGTGTTTTTCATTTTGTGAACAAGCCTGTTTTAAATGTTTTGGTTATGGTAGAAAGAATAATTAATGTCATTACCCCCAACAACAACAACAACAACAACAACAAAATAAAGGCAATACAGTAGGAGCTAAGCAAACTTGTACGTAGGTCCAGGGAACTATGTGACCTCTGCCTGGATACGCATTTGATGTTTGCCAGTGGGGGTCATGTTAGCTATGGCGGAGGTTCCTGTACATCAAGAATATTTAAGTAAGACTTCAGAGGAAGAGAGAGAAACAAGGCTGAGGACGAGAGTAGGCTGACTGGGAAGGAAGGCTTAGGGAACTGTCCACTTGGTCTGTTTCACTGTTAGTACAGAGTGGTTTTCTTGTTCATGGTCACTAGCTGTGGTCACACAGAGAAAATGCTACTTTTCTTCTTTTACCTGCTTATGCTGGGCTCAAATATGTGAAAAAGTGTGTGTGTTGAGTGCTAACACATTTACAACATAAATTCACTTCTGACCATAACTGTTACAGCTACCATTTTTAAATCTAATTATCCAAAAGGCATGAACTCATTTTCATTCATTAACCCTGAATAGAATATGGGTTTTAACATAAGTAAATTTGATTGTTATAATCCAGTAATAGAAATGAAATAAGATCTACTGGCATAAATTGTAGTAAAAAAAAAGTAAGGCAACCAGACAGTGAAAGTTTATATTGCATTAATTTAATAGGAATCCTGTGTACAGTTTAAAATGTTTGTAAAATGTCACCATGAATTTCTTGTTATCTTTTTGTAATTTTTTAACAAAGAATTTCCCCTAAGCTTAGCTACTAATAGTATTAAAAATCTTAAGAACTAAGTTAAAAGACTGGCATTTTAAGCAAGTTAAGGTACTTAGGAAATATTGTAGAATAAGTTTGTGGAGACATTAGCTGACACAAATGAGTGACATTTTAATGTTCAACTGCTTTAATGGAAGCTCATTTTGGTATCATTCTAGATCATTGCCACTTATGTGGCCTGAGGACCACTAAGTAGCACTGAGATCACCTGGTATTTTGTTAAAAATGCAGAATTTCAGAGTTATCTCAGATTTATTGAATCATAGTCTGCATTTTGGCAAGATCCTCAAGTGATTTTTATGTACGATAAAGTTTGAGAGGAGAGTATCAAAGTGCAAACAAATCACTTACATTTAGAATTCTCAGTGGTCTCACAACCCTAGAAGGAAAATGAATTTTTAAATGTCAATGACATGACTTATAAGTCCTCTAATTATAAATTTTTAGCGAGTCTTATTTATTTTACAATAAAAATGTAACATTTTATATTTTTCTTGTTAACCATAAATGAAATCAGAGCTGTAGATGTCTATAATTTTAACTATGAAAAGAATACCATGCTTTTATAGTACATAAACAATGTACTCTGAGACAATTTTAAACAGTGCACAACAAATCTGCACATGCATATTCCTTTAAAATTTCTGAAGGCTTACTCATTGGAGTGGTTCTGAATATTTGCTCCAAGTAATTTCTACCAGTTAATTTTCTGGAGTATGAAGTTATAGTATCATTCTTTATTAGTACCTTTGATACTATTTCAAATAAGGACTATACATTTGAAAATTTTTACAGCTATTATAAATATTGGATAATGCTAACTATGGTAGCAATTGTAATTATCCCTACTATTCTCTTTCTACTCATCTTTGCAAATTTGAAAGTTGAGGTGGGTTTTGTAGGTAATTTGCTCATAAAGATGCTGATGTGACCATTTGGTCACAGACTTCCTACATATCTAGAATAATACTTTTTTTATCATGAGAAGCATTCCGCACAAGATTCGGGCCTTGCACCCCATCACTCACAGGATCTGAGCAAAAATTGTAGCTCCATTCCACATTTTAAACCTCTCACTCTTCAAATACCCCAGAACTTGTGGTATTCTAGTGGGGCCCCAGCATTTGCCTTTTAGAATCCAAATGGAGAGAAAAGCAAAGAGGACTTTTCAAGGGAAACAAAGTAGACTTTTCCCAGAGGACCCAGGGCAAGTGAGTGTCCTAGAATCCTTTGTGTAACACCAGTGAACTTTTTAAGGACCCTCTGCAGACTTGTAGAGTAGAAATTCTCAGTCATTAACTGACGACAAAGTTCAGTTTGAAAAAGCAATATTTTATTGCCCTATTCTATCATGATGTAACTGCTTAGCAAGCATTACTCATTTAAAAACAAAAAGTTGAATTAAAGGGAAATTTATTTTTTAAACCAAAATAGATAAAGATGATCCCAGTTTTAAGGGATTTCTGCTTATTTTGGAAGAATAAAATTAAAGTGTTACGCCCTTTAAATTTAAATTATAGAGAACAATGTACTCTGAGATAATTTTAAACAAATATTTTAAATATGCTGTTAACATTTGAGTCCATAGGCACAATAAATCTATACTTTATTAAAGGGGAGCATGTCAAGGGAATACATATGTTAAATAATGTAAGTGAAAAAATATTTTTAAAAAGCCATTTAAAAAATAAGGGATAATTTGATGGTTACTTAAACTAATCATTATAGATAGAAATTAATGTATAATAGTGTTTTCCCAGTCTTTGGATGAAAAATAAAAACTCTAGTCATTTAATTAGCATGAATTTAATCTTTTAGATTTGTTGCTTAGTAAAATTATACCCAATACTTTGAGTTATTCACATTTATGTTTAATATTGTTAGATTCTTCATCAGAGAACATAAATATATTGTCTTCTATACTTTGTAACTTGTGCATATCTAAAGAGACCAGCAGTGAACATTTTGGAAGATGTTTTTGTGGTTTTTTACTAGTGGCATTCTAGTACCTACCTGTGTCTTGCTATGAAGTTTCTACAAGTAAACTCAAGATCCTATTTCACATACTGTTGCTTTCTCTTAGGTGGAGTTTATTGTGTACTGCTTATCTTCACTTCTAATCATGTAGTGATACTAATCTTTTCATAATAAATATACCTGTTTTTAATTGTATTCCTAGAGTTTACATTCCTAAAGAATAAACTATGACTTTGGATATTTTTATGTGCTCTTGACATTTTTAAGTCTATGGAAATAAACTGGAGTTTAGTTTTTTGAAGTTTTGTGTATTTGTGTAAATGGTCTCCATAAGCAATACTTTATACAGCAGTGTTCGCTCTTTCATTAAAATAAAAACTGAAAAATATTTTTTCCAGATCATTTTACTCATTTAAAAAAATCATAAAATTTTTCAAAAATCATTCTGGGGATGAAGAAAATAAAGAAGACTTAGGTGAGTTGAGCCATTGAGAGAGAGCTTTTGGGAGTAAGCCACGGGGCAATGGCATCTCATGCCTTGTTTAGGTGTTGCATGGCTGAGGGATGAGAACTGTGACAGGTCCGTTAGTGTCCCTCCAAAGGAAGGTGAGCTCCATGGGTCATGTACCATTGGTTGGTTATTTGTCATACCAAAAGCACCGGAAACTATAGACAATGCTTTGACATTTTACTTTTAATGAATCTTTATCTCTTGAGTGCAGATTATATGCCCAAAGTCCCTAGCATAGGACTTTGTGCATGATAGGTGTTGAGGCATTTAATGAATGAATGAGTTAGATTGGTGTTAGTTTGGGGAAAGAATCAGTGATAGGGTCTCCAATGTATTATATATATTTCAGTGAAGTTTTAGAATTTCACTTATTGGCTCTATGAAATCTCCATGGCATTACTTGAATTGCATTACTGTGTGCTTAGAAACAGGACCCTCTTAGAAACTTGAAATAAAAATTGTGTGTAGTTGATTACATATTTGGATAATTCCATTTCATCTAAGAAACTAATCTGGGAAATATTTTCTGAACTGCTAGTATAAAGGAGTATTTCTAGAGAACCAGAGCAACCAGAGCAGTGATTTTGTAAGCAGTTGTTAGTCTTGTGGACTATACACTCTTATAGTGATGTTATTTATCCCAATGAACAACTGACTCACCTAATACAATCTGACTTTAGTAATAACAACATAATCATTTTATAATTATAAGAAAGATATAAACAATTCTAGCCATTTGGTAATTTTCCTTGCATTATTATTGTGGTAGTAGCAATTTTTATAATTAAAATTACGGTGTCATTTAATCTTCCAAGCAATCCTATAAAATGAGTATAATCCCCATTTTACGAAAAAGGAAACTGAAGCTCTCCATAGAGCCACTGACTTGTGCAAAGCTAGGACTTGAACATGAGACTTAGGGCTCTCACTTTTCTTTCTTTTATATCACTTAGTAAAAGAAGATGCTAAGTAAACACTGCATAATGGACATATATTTGAAATTTATCCTCTTTGTCTTATAAGAGATAGAGTTAAGTTAAAAGTAAAAGTTTTCAAGTAATTATGATGTTTTATAGAATTTTAGATAATTGCGTTGCAGTGATACAGTGAATGCTGGTTATTCTGATATTTAAAAATGGTAAAATGCAAATTCAGATTGTAATTATAATTTACCGTGTCAGCTATATAAAGGTTAAAAGGACCGATAATAGTATTGATACAGGTGTGGGGAGATCATTAGTCTCCAAGGCCATTGGCAAAACTATAAATTGGTACAACTAAATTGGTGAGCAGTTCAGCAGGATGTATCAAACTTTAAAGTATACATACCCTCTGACCTAGAAATTCTACTTTTCTATGCTTATTCCACTCTCTATATTTTATAGAGATTTTAGCACAAATGTGTAATGGTATTCATTGCAGTATTGCTTGTAGTAGGAAAAAAAAAGAATTTAAATGACCATTAATAGAGTACTAGATAAAGTACTATACATGCATATAGTGGAGTATAATGTAGCCATTAATAACAACACAGATCTGAATGTGATTATTTAAAAAAAATTATATAATGTTCCCTGAAAAATATATCATAGAACTATGTAGAGAGAATATGATCCTGTTTTCATGAGTATGTGGAACATTTAATATGGGTATGTGTATATTTCTCTTAAGTGTGATCAAAAAACAGCCTGAATTAGGAAAAACCTGGTGCTTTCAAAAATAGATCCCTGGGCCTTGTGCTAAATTCCCTGAATCAGAATCACTGTGAGTAAAGCATGGAAACCTGTGTTTTAACAAGTCCCTCAGTGGATTCTCACACAAGCTTCACATTTGGCTTAGTAGGTGACAGCAGAGAATCTTTGTGTCGCTGGTGGTAGTTTGTAGTAACAAAGGGTTATACCTACCTTTTTAATTATGGAGGTATAATTGACATATTACAGTAGTTTCAGCTATACAATATAATGATTCAATATTTGTATATTTTGTGAAATGATTGCCATAATAATTCTAGTCAACATCCATTACCATACCATAAAGGGTTAAAAAGGTTTTTTTTCCCTCTTGTGATGAGAACTTCTAAGATTACTTCCCCATGATGTATTTATAACTGAAGTTTATACCTTTTGACCCCTTTAGGCATTTTGTGCATCCCTCACTCCTGCCTTTGACTTACTTTACTTAGAATAATGCCCTCAAGGTCCATCCATGTTGCCACAAATGGCAAGATTTACTTCTTTTTTATGGCTGAATAATATTCCATTTATATATATACACACCACATTTTCTTTATTCATTCATCCATTGATGGACACCTAGGCGGTTTCAGAGAGACAAACTTCTTGAAGAGGTCTTGTATTCTTAACGGGGCCTCCCTAAGATAAAGCCAATTAACATGTATTAACATCAGCAACATAGACCTGTTAGTAAAAAGATGAATTGGCCTGACATGAAAAAGTGATCTACTGTATAGTTCACACCAATTACATGAGTTATCGTTTAAAAAAAACTTTGTTGAACTCTGCCAAATATCATCAGACGATCTGTTAATCAAGTAAAATTAAGTACTAAAACTGCCATAAGAGAGTGCACCACTTTGGTATGCTTAGTTGTGTCTCAGAACCAGAAAACTGGACATTTGTAGAACTTTGGAATCTTTGTTCAAATAATTTAAGCCTTGACTATGAAGATCGGAAACTGACTGGATTTGGCAAAGTTACTGAAATGGTTTAAGATTGGTGGAGACAGCAAGCAAGGGTCTTAAAGAGTCTTGATAAACTGATCAGCTGGCTTTTTGCCCAGGTAAGCTGATTATTGTCTCCATACTGTAGGAATTTCCTTATGCGAACAAAAAATTTGTTTCTGTTTGTTTTGTTTTATTTACAATCTTCTCTTTCCTGGGCATAAACAACTAAATCATGTTGTCATAGGTGGGCTATGGTTTTATCTAAACCACATCTATACTGATGGTTTCAGCTCTGTTTCTCTCTCTCTATTCAAAGATTGTAATTCAATATTACAAATACAGCATATTGATATGTCTTCTGTGACTTCTTTGGATCCTACTGGTGAGCTCAAGGCTTTTTTCCTGAAGCTTCATGACCTCTATCACACTGGTTAAGTGCTCAGATAGACTCCTTACATTGTACGTTGCTTACCTTTTCACATATGTCTCCCTCACTGGACCTTTGCACTGTGGAAGTTTTAGTATGATACCTAATACATAACCGTGAGCAAAGATTTGTCTTACTAGATAGGATATGAATCAAATCCAGGAAATGAGTGGCAACATAGGAGATACCGTGTTGGTCCTCTTCCATCCAAGGGATGTCTGTAAAACTCCTTTGATTCTCTAATGTATGTCTGCGCAGAGATGGATATGAAGGTTGTAAAACTTGACTACTTTAGTTCTTTAAAGTATGTGCATCAAAGTTTTTTGAGAAGAAAATCATGATATATCATTTTTTTAATTTGAAGTAATGAATAGCATAAAAATTTCCTGGGCTAATGTTTGACATTAATTTTTTATTTTCTTCTGTGTATCTGTGGTGCACATTAGTGATGTGTAGACATGTCAGAAGACAACATAGGAATGACCTAAGTTCAACACTACACATTCTCACTTCTTGCTTCACCTGCTTCCTTTTATAGAAGCTAGATACAGAGATATTTAACTTTTGTATCCCAGGTCACTACAGCCTAATGAATGCCTGCAGTGCATTTATTTAAACCTTTTACTCACTTCATTTAGCCCAGATTCTTCTACTAATGTCTTGCCCCTTGTGCTTTATGATTTTTACTAACATTTTCTTCTATAAATCTCTTGATACATAACCCTCTAGAAAAACATGTCACCACTTTTTCTTCTAAATCCACTCTGATGTAGAATTTTGTTTCAATACTCATTTACATCCATCAAGCTGAATTTAATGAGGCAGAATATGTTTGAAAGAAGGAGAAAACAAGCAAGCAGACCTATGAACTATATTATAAATGAGAGAATATTTTATTTCCCAGTTCACTTAGGAATTAAAAAAATGGAGTCTGGTTAAACAAGCAGTATGACACAGTATGCTGGTCCTAGCTAGATGTTGAGTGTGGCTCTGCTACGCCACTCAGCAATGGTTGTGGAGGACAGTAAGGAAAACAACTCCACAGTAACAATAAACCTGAGCAGTGTTTCTGTTGTCTGCTCTGTACAGAAGGTGAGACATCCCAAGGTACAAATCAAATGATACATGGTTGGCCAGGTGGTGCAGGACATGGACATAGTAAGCTTGGAGCATGAGTGAAAAAAAACTGGGAGCTAAACGTATGGGCTCAGATTGTAAGAATAGTTGTTTCCCACATAAATACTGAACAAAAGTCCCATTGTGAATGAGATACTAAGGTGGCTGAGATAATACTAAGGATGGCAATAGATCTCTGTTGATATCCCAGTCCTTGTTCACTCAGCTTATGGATAAAGTGGCAATACTGGAAAGATCGGGGCTGTACATTGACTTCAACAATGTGGCCTTCTTTCCATCAAGGCCCCCCTGATTACTGCCACTGCCAGCAGGAGTGACCAACCCCAAGATATGCTCTAGGGAGACTAAATATTTGCTTGGTGGCAGATTTATCGTATCAAATCTCTTTTCTCATGTAGAGACAGCTATTTGTCCTCATAAAATAGACAGTTACTGTGAGTCTAGGTTTAGATTTGCTTTCCCTGTAAGCCATACTTCTGCGAGCAGTGCTAAGCACCCTATCCACCATCACGATTATCTTAACAATAGTGCGTCTAAAGAACTTATTTTATACTTTAA